GTATCCTGACCAGGTCAATACATCATAGTATTGAGCAGGTAAAGCCTCCATGGGAATATTTGGCACAATAAATTGCTTTTCCACATAGCACCTCTTTCTAAAGGTACTTCACAACTGAAAAAAGAGGAGGAAACCATATGGGTTTCGTCTTGCAGTTTCTGTTCTCCGTATGCTGAAATATGGTTCACCTTCTGTCTTAACTTCTTGCCTTTGTTTTTTTTTTTTTTAAGGCAGGCAGATTCTCCTCAAGTGTCACTTTAGAAAATCTTTTCTTGTTGGCATTCTGTGTCATTTCCAACTCCTTTGTCCCTGCCTAGTTTCTCATGTTCCAGACTGTTGTGTCTCGCCTACCTACCTACCTACCTTGCCCATCTATGGGATATGCTTAGCTCTCTGGGTACAGTCCATTTTATTGTGCTGTACAAATGTTTAGAACAGCAGTTCCCAACCTTTTTTTGACCAGGGACCAATTGATCAGGGACCATTTTGACCAGGGACCATCTTGACCAGGGACCACTCTCCAACATTAGTATCAAAAGGGTTACGAATCGGTTTTTGGTGAACTTTAGATTCAGTTTGGTTATTTGGGATGCTGATTCAGAAAATTGCATTAGATAGACCATATCAGCTATAGTTTCTGATAGAGAACATATGCCATCGAGTAGTCACCATTTGCTCGCCCACAGGAAACCATATTTAATAATCTAGAGCTACTGACTTTATTTTAGGTCTCGCGACCCACCAGTGGGCCACAGCCCACAGGTTGGGAACCCCTGGTTTAAAGGCATGTGGGGCTGGGAAAAGATTAGGTTCAGTTGAGTAGTGTTCCTTTGAAATTAGAAATTATGAGGAGGTGGGGCTGTGCTTGTGCAGTCCCATGTGAAAATTCATATCTTGCAACTGCTGACCGAGAAACCTAACTAAGAGTAGTTTCCAGATTGGCTTAACAAATCTGCATAGATACATTGGTATTGTATTTGTTTTATTTTCCTAGCTCAAATAATTAGTGGGAAGAGCCTTAAGTTCTCCACCCAGAGATTCAACAGCAACAGGAGTGGATAAATCTCCCTCAAAGAGGGCCCAGGTCTTCCCCTGCATTTCAAAGTATGACATGTTGGGTGTGTTCTGGGCAGGAATGGGGGAAATTCCTTTTTTTGGATTACGAGACCCATAACCTCTCTGTCAGCATGGCCAGTGGCTATGCTGTCGAGTTGTTTCAAGGAGTTGTTTTCAAAAAATGAACTTTCACGAATTCTGCCTAGAACACATCCATCATTTCCTTCTGTAAGTAGTCCAAAACATGAATGTTTCCAAATTCTGGTTCATAGACACACCCATGGCTAGCCGAAGATGTTTTCGTGCCTTCGTCAAAGTATAAAATGTTGAACCTCCTTCAGTCTTCATATTGACATGAGCTAAATCTTATTTCAGCACTACTGATGGGAGAGCGTACTTCGTAGCACCTGAGGATGGCAAACTAGCCTTGGAGGACAGGACAGTCCTCTAAGCCCACAATTTTGTCCTCACTGCTCCCCTCCCCATGACATCTATTGCTGAAGTAGTCATCTCATGATATCTCATGAGTGTTGTCTCTAGTTGATGGTCCTGAATAATGTTGAGGCCCAACCTAATTAGTCTACATAACCCTATGCAGCATGTGAGAGTTCTTGACAGATGCTCAGGGATACCTTAGAAAAAATGCCAGGTTTTCTTAAAAGGTTGAAAAATTGAAAACTTAACTAGATACCTTTCTGAATCTATCGGGTTTGAGGCGAGATGCCATGGGACTGAATTCTGAGATGTCATGAGATGGGACTGAATGTTCGTTTGAGTCACCCACCATTCTTTTCAGAGTGTATTGAATGTTAGTTTTGAAGGAAAAGTCTGTAGCTCAGCAGTAAAAGGCCATGGCTTTAGTCTCATGTCAGCTCCAAATAAACCTGAACAGACTCTACTCTAAGCCCTGTTACTAGTCAGTGTAGGTCAGTGATTCCCAACCTTTTTCTGACGAGGGACCCCTTGATCAAGGACCACTTTGACCAGGGACCAGTCTCTAACATTAGTACCAAAATGGTTACGAATCAGTTTTTGGTCAACTTTAGATTTGATTTGGTTATTTGGGATGCCATTTTGGAAAACTGCATTGGATAGACCACATCAGCTCTAGTTTCTGATACATAACATATGCCATCCAGTAGTTGCCATCTGCTCGCTCACAGAAAACCGTATTAAATAATCTAGAGCTGATGTGGTCTATCCAAGGGGTCGGGGCTGGTCAGCAACAGGGAAGGAGTGGCATGCGGTGTGAAAGGAGCGGAAATAAAATAAATAAATAAAGAGGAAGGAGGCTTGCGGACCAGATTTTCTTCCTCACAGCCCACTGGTGTTCCACTACTCACAGGCTAAGAACTACTGGTGTAGGTAATATAAAACTAGATGAATCAGTGACATAACTTTGGAGCAAAGCAATGTTTCGTGTGCCCATCCAATGTGTGAAGCCAAGATCTCCCCAAAGATCTTAGACAGGCCCCTACATTGGCAGTCTTCAGAAAGAACTTGAAGACCTGGCTGTTCTGATGTGCCTTTCCCGATTAGGAAACCTCCAATACCAAGTCCCATAAGCACTTTATTAGAATTAAGACTGCCGCACTCTGCACTTGCCCTATAATATCACCTGTCACATCAGCACTTTTTAATTTCTGTACCCTTTTACTCTGGCCCGGCCCAGTTTTATCTTGTTGATGTACTGTTTATTGCTTGTGGTTTGTTGTTTTAATACTGTTTTAATTGTTTTAATTTTGCTTTAAGTGTATTGTTGTGTTGTGTATTGAGGCCTTGGCCTTTGTAAGCCGCATCGAGTCCTTTGGGAGATGCTAGCGGGGTACAAATAAAGTTTAATAATAATAATAATAATAATAATAATAATAATAATAATAAGATAGTTTTTCCCATGGATTGGATGAGCTATTTTATCACCAAGAAACTATTGGGACAAAATCATAAATGTTCACCAGTGACTATGTCAAGGACATCAGTGCCTTTAGGTAAGCATGTGTGAGTGCTCAACCTGCAGTCACCAGACAGGACATCAACTAGAACAACCATGGGCAAACTTTGGCCCTCCAGGTGTTTTGGACTCCAATTTCCACAATTTGTAACTGCTGGTAGACTGTTTGGAATTGTGGGAGCTGAAGTCCAAAACACCTGTAGGGTCGAAGTTTGCCCATGCCTGGAGTAGAAGCAAAAGAGAAATGCAGAAGTTTGCCTGACTATAACTGACTCTTCAGTCATGGCATGGAACTTTGCATCTACTTCTGCCAAAACATGAACTCTCCAATAGCTCTTGTTAGAATAACTGTAGCTCTTTGAGTTTCCCCAAATGACATTTTGCAGTTTAGGAAATGATCGTTTTCACTTCTGATGTTTGGAGTGGTGCCTTTTAATGTTTTCTACAATCTCCTATCTTTTCTGAGAGCATGTCTAAATGTTTCAAGACCTCTGTCTTTCACTTTCTTTAAGGACTGGACACATAAACTCATAGAGTGGTTCTGTTCCATTGCTTAGATCAGGATTTATTGTGTAACCTGTTGAACTTGGATCTCACTCACCAAAGGGTTTCCCCCCTTTAGCAGAGCCCTAGGTGCTTATTGATCTGTTGAGGGTCAGAATTAGGAGTGGGGACAAACACTTCTATTGGTTTTGATGGGGAAGTCAGGCAGGAGAAACTCTGGTCCTGGTACTACTTCACTGCGGTGCTGAGGATCGATAAGGCCGCAGGGTCTCGGCTTTGCTGCAGGCAGGCATAAATCACTCCCACCCATTCCTCTTCATTCCTTGACACAAACCTGTGGGGGGGGGGCTACCTCCCTCCCCAGTGCATGGGGCCTGATGGATTGCAAACCATTGCTGTCCATCTGCCATTTGTCTCAGCTTGGCTTGTTGCTGCAGTGAGTTCTGCAACAGACTGAACAAGGAAAATGCTATTTTGCCGTGACCCCTTTTGACATCATATACAGGCTCTACCTATGTCCAGATAGGATGCCAGTTCTTGCTCCTACTGCAAGGCATGAGCTTGGGAAAACTATTTGTTTGAATTAGATTTCTTGAATCACAGACCACACCTGGAACACTGTCCAATTCTGGGCACTGCAATTTAAGGAAGATGTTGACAAGCTGGAATGTGTCCAGAGGAGGGCGACTAAAATGATCAAGGGTCTGGAGAATAAGCCCTATGAGGAGCGGTTTAAAGAGCTGGGCATGTTTAGCCTGCAGAAGAGAAGGCTGAGAGGAGACATAATGGCCATGTATAACAATGTGAGGAGAAGTCATAGGAAGGAGGGAGCAAGCTTGTTTTCTACTGTCCTGGAAACTAGGACGTGGAACAATGGCTTCAAGGCTGTAGGAAAGGAGATTCCACCTGAACATGAGGAAGAACTTCCTAACTGTGAGAGCTGTTCAGCAGTGGAACTCTCTGCCCCTGACTGTGGTGGAGGCTCTTTCTTTGGAGGCTTTTAAACAGAGGATGGATGGCCATCTGTTTGGGGTGCTTTGAATGTGATTTTCCTGCTTCTTGGCAGGGGGTTGGACTGGATGCCCCATGAGGTTTCTTCCAAGTCTATGATTCTGTGATGCAATGAATCCCTGCTCCAGTGGCCATGTAGACTGGGAGCCTATGAGCATTTTAGTCCAAAGCAGTTCTCTTGAGCTCTAGCTCTGTATTCATTCTGGCTCAACATTGAGAAGTTAATTTCAGGGTAGACTGTGCAAAGGAAGGTAGTGTGCACTTCCCCTGCAGTAGTAATGTCCTCTCTTCCCCAGGGAATGTCACCCTTTCCTTGGCTCCTTTTCAACCTGAAAATGCAGTTCTGTCTCAAGCAGAAAAACAAAGAAACCAGTCTCTTCAAAGAAAAGAGGGAGAAAAACCTTCAAAGCAGACTTCACACATTTGTGTGTGTTTACTCTCCCCTCAAGAACTCAGCCATGAATGCTGTCATTTGGTTCAAAAAGCCTTTATTGGTAGAATCAAATTCCATTAAAGATGGCATCAAAGAGCCCTTTTAATTCATCTTGGTGAAATGGGACTGTGACTCTTCCCTGAGCAAGTGGCCCGCCTCCCCCAACAGGTTTTAGCCACTGTATTTGGGGCCATCATTTCATTGCATACTAAGTAACTCCACAACTCTTCTCCTAGCCACTTAATACTTTAGACCTCTCTCTTAGAACACAAAGGCATATGCCATTGGGGGTTTCCTTGTGTTGAGAGCTTTGACCAAAATTCAGGCACTCCTTTTTAGACTCCACTTAGGCTGAAAAAATGAAACGCAAAGATACAGAATGGGGGATGCCTGGCTCGAGAGCAGTACGTGTGAAAAAGATCTTGGAGTCCTCGTGGACAACAAGTTAAATATGAGCCAACAATGTGATATGGCGGCAAAAAAAGCCAATGGGATTTTGGCCTGTATCAATAGGAGTCTAGTGTCTAGATCCAAGAAGTCATGCTACCTCTCTATTCTGCCTTGGTCAGACCACACCTGGAATACTGTGTCCAATTCTGGGCACCGCAATTAAGGGGAAATGTTGACAAACTGGAATGTGTCCAGAGGAAGGTGACTAAAATGATCAAGAGTCTGAAAAACAAACCCCATGAGGAGCGGTTTAAAGAGCTGGACATGTTTAGCCTGCAGAAGACAAGGCTGAGAGGAGAACATGATGGCCATGTATAATACATGAGTTATAGGGAGGAGGGAGCAGGCTTGTTTTCTGCTGCCCTGAAGACTAGGACACAGAACAATGGCTTCAAATTACAGGAAAGGAGATACCTCCTGAACATTAGGAAGAACTTCCTGAGTGTGAGAACTGTTCAGCAGTGGAACCCTCTGCCCTGGAGTGTGGTGGAGGCTCCTTTTTTGGAGGCTTTTAAGCAGAGGCTGGATGGCCATCTGTCAGAGGTGCTTTGAATGTGATTTTCCTGCTTCTTGGCAGGTTTACCTGAATGACCCACAAGGTCTCTTCCAACTCTCTGATTCTTTGACTCATAACCAACTGTAGATTCTTGGGCCTGCAGGCGTACATATGCCTATGGAGGGGTAGGCAGTAGGTAGCTCTGGTGTGTCCCTAAACAAACCAAGGTCCTGAGAAATACATCTTCGACAGATGGAGCTGGCTGAGGTAGTTATCCTGGGCTGTGCTGCTCACACACCCCTTCTTCCAGAGAGGCAAGAGGAGACCACCTCTCTCTAGCAGGGCTACTTTTTTGACTGGGAGAGTGGGCAGAGGAAAGAGCAAAAACCTTCCTCCTTGGTTCCCACTCATCTCAGCTCTGCACTGTCCATAGTTACCAGTCTCTATAAATACAGGAAGGAGACCAGGCAGTCTGATTTGTGAAACACGGCGAAAGGTTCAACATTGACAACAAAGAAATGTGGCCTTGGATGTTGCCACTCTCAAGATGGGGAACAGGGGGAGAGAACCCCTTGTCGTTCTTGTGCCAGTCTGTGCCAGCTGTAGCTCCGCAACAGCCCTTGTCACATTGCTCTGAGCCTTGAGCAAATCTGGGACTTGAAAACTCCAAGTTCCTTGTGGAGTGTCTTGCTTCAGACAAGGTTGCTGGCTAGTCTTTGTTGTGCCTCCTCGTCCCATACTATGTTGGCACCGTATTCATCACCTACATGAGAGAAAGGAAGAAAGGGGAGGGTCTGCATTAGTAGCCAAACTGGCATAGTTAGTATGTATTCTGCAGTGCAGGTGCAACCCCCAAGGGTGGCCTATGGTGTCTCCTTTGGCCCTAGCCATGCCTCTATGCTGTTGTCTTACCTGTATGGCATCCATGTAACCAGAGGCGGTGTCCATCGTACTGACATTGGCAGCGAAGGGCATTGTTGGAGAAATCTGACTCTGCTACCTCATGCTTAGGATTCACAACCACCTGGAGAGGAAAGATAAGTGGGTAGAGACCAGGAAAGGTAACTTGTAACAGCAGGACCACAGCTGTTATTTCTTTAAGTAAGAAAAGGCAGCATGTGTTGACCACCTGCCAGACAGGCTCCAGTGTTGTCAGGAGTCATCATGGGAAGGGGACATCCCTGCAACCACAGCGGCCACCAGCCAGCTTTCCAACACTTACCTGGAATGTGTAACTCCCAGGCGGCACGTCAGTGATGTCCACCCACTGGCAGTCAATGTCGTGTCTGTATGTGTCCCAGCAGCCTGCACTGACACCCTGTTCTCCAAAATTAGCACAGGCAAAACGCCGCTGCAGTCCTGTATGGAAAATATTAGATTGGGTGAACTGGAATAGCTGGCCTTGCCTCTTGCCGAAGGATTATATGCTTGAAGGGTACATTTGTGGCCAGACTCCTCCTGGTAACAAATGCCAGTGTTATTCTGACACGTGTGCTTTTAATCGGTTATTGTGAAAGGTAGGTATTGTGTATCACCTTGCACTGTGATACACACACCCCAAACTGATGTATGCACTTCTGGCCAAATAGTGGCGGGGGATAGGTGCATCCAGCTGCAATTTTACTTTCAAGAGAAAAGGTGCAGATATCATTATTCCAAATTCCCAGCTGTTGGAATTCAACCCCACACTGCCCAAGTTGCAATACACATCCCATTAGAATTAGGAATACTTTCTGACACCTTCTCCAGGTTGGGGGAGACTGCTGAGGAGAATGATGCAGAAGCAATGCTTAATTGATTCAAACGTCAAAGTGCAATGAGGCCTAAAGCCTGGGCCAAATCAGGCTACTGCAAATGGGCTGCACTGCTTCATAAGGTGAAGAAGAACTAAAGATGGACCAGAGGCAAAGATATATGCAAAGGTAGAGGCACAAGAGAGCATTATAGGTTTTCTTTTCTGTAAAAATATTTCAAAGTGGTGGGAAGAGGTGTGAAGTGGTGTTGCATGATTGATAGAGCATGTTTATAATTGATAGAGCAGGCACCATTTACAAAAGGCAGTCCACCTACTATGCTCTGGGTCAAAAACTGGACTGTAGAATGACCATTCTTCTAATACTATCACACATCAATATTTCAAAAACCTAAAATTAGTTTTGAGGTATGGTAGCATATGCTTATGGCATTTTATAACTCATTTGTATCAATGATTATTGGAATTGCTATGGTTTACAGTTTTGGATATTTAAACTAGGATGTTTTAATGTAGTAATCAGATCTAATTTGCCAAATAGTCACTGTTGAATGTTTTTATGTTGAATGTTTTTATAATGTAAAATGCAATTTTAAATTGTAAGTCGCTCGGAGCACCTTGATGGAGAGCAACTAATTAAGAAATAAAGTAAACTGAAGTGAAGTGAATGCTCTGTCTTAATGTTTAAATGTTGCTTATGCCTTATATTTAATGGTTTAAATGATTTTAATTCATAGTTATATGTTACTATTTACTTATTATGATTTATTACATGTATGTTAGCATTGAATTTTGCCATTAGTATGTTGTAAACTAATTTGAGGCCGCCCCCCCCCCCCCCCCCCCCCCCCGGATAAGAAAGGTGGTATATAAATGCCGTAAACAAACCAATAAATAAATACATGAAATTTGTGTACAAATTGCCAAAAACAATGTGTGGGAGAAAAATGGGAACTACACACACACAAACACACTGTTTTTAGGTCTCCCACATGCAACAAAACTAATGTGCATATCTTTCTGCAACTTGGCAGGTTTCTTACTTAGTGCCACTGCAAAATTGTCTCTCATTTTCAGAATAGTGGTCCACATGGAACCTAAGTCGGGCAGATAAGATCTATGCATTTTGCATCTGAAACTAAACTGCCTTGATTACCTCCAAAAAGGCAAATGTGCTTGTATATTTCTTCTAATTCTACCAAGGAACAAAGTTACTGACAGTTTTATTCTATTATCTAACTGTTAATGTTCTTAGTGGCGTAACTCCTGCATCTTCCTATTTGCAATTTGACAGATTAAGTACCTACACTTTTTTATCCTGTTCTAATATAGAGAAAAAATAGTTTTAGCAATTTTCCATTAGTCCTGCCGGCACAAGGGTTTAACCCATTTGTCCACCCCCCGTGCTGGTAGTACTGCTGACTGAGAGATCGGTGGTTCAAATCCAGGGAGAGCAGGTTGAGCTCCCTCTGTCAGCTCCAGCTCCCCATGTGGGGACATGAGAGAAGCCTCCCACTTGGATGGCAAAACATCAAACATCCGGGTGTCTTCTGAGCAATGTCCTTGCAGACGGCCAATTCTCTCACACCAGAAGCAACTTGCAGTTTCTCAAGTTGCTCCTGACACGAAAAAAAAATAAATCCCAGTTCTAGTCAGTGGAATGCATGAGCCCATGAGTTTCCAAATATGAGATCGAGTTTGGGAGCTTAAATTCCAAATCAGCTAGAAATCCAAGCTTTGTGGTCACTGGATACCCCTAGTTTATTTTAAGCTGTCACTTACCATCTGGACAGTTAGTATCTTCCAGACAAAAGCTGGCCTTGTGTCCTTCAGCCACTTTGGAGCCATTGAGGGTCAATAAGTCATAGTGGGTGAAAACCTCGATGCTATGATAGTGACTGGGGGAAAGAGGATGAAGACATTACTTAGAGAGGCTGCTGCATGTGAGGGAAATTCAAGGATTATAAAGAAATGGACTGTGCTACACAGTGGCTATACAGAATCCTTCCTGATGGGGCGACAGGGAGGAGTAGGGATCCACTGATCTCCATGAAGTAGAAGGATGTGGAAGGGTTAGGCTTGGCTGTAGTTTCAGCTGCTATTATAGTTCTGCATCCCAGCACACCCATAATGACAGCCTTGTTGTGAACGTTGCTATTTTCTCAGATGCAAACAAACTGAGCTCCCACCACAAAACAGTTGACTAAGATAGAATGCTTCTCTCTGGGACACGTGAGCCTCATCTCACAAGATGCAGCAGCAACTGGCTTGGGGGTGGAAAGGGAGTCTAGACAGCAACTTATAAAAAACTCTACACTGGTAGGAAGAGGAAAGAGACATCAAATTTCTGACAACTAGCTTTCTTTTTAGAGTGTATACATGCAGCAGAGAGCACAGGTGTTCCTCAATCACTGATGCTAGTCATACTATATTAAGGTTTATTCTTTACCTGTGGCACTGGTGCCAAATCCATGCATGGCGACCCGTTCTTGGGAGGAAATCTGCTCGTCCCAGATTGTGAATCTGTGAGGAAAAGCGGAGCAGGCGCCGATAACCATCAGGCCAGTTCATGTGGTTAGCAGAGGCCGAAAGGCAGCCTTCCTCATGGGCACAGTACAGCATGTTCAGTGGACGGTCCTCTAAATAAGCAGTCTCTTGCACCAATTGAGCATTCATCACCAGATCTGGGGCACCTGCAAAGAAAAGTGGATGTTTAAGATTATATGAAGTTCAGTGCCATGCGGTGCAGGACCACATTTGTTAGGTTGCGGAAGGAACTTTGAAGCCTGATCATTGACATGGAAGATCCACACACGCACATACGCATATATATGAAAATGTCCTTATACAGAGTTTATCTAGAGTGGACACCAAGAATGTCATGACAATAAGTAGGAATTTTCCCCACTGGAAAATGTGGGACTGACCCAAGACAGACAAGTGTACAAAGCAAGCCCTGGGCAACTGAAGTGTGGGTGCATATCCCGAAGATGCCATATCCTTTGAACTCATCTTATAAAAGGTAAAAGTTTCCCCTTGACATTAAGTCTTGTTGTGTCCAACTCTGGGAGGAGGAGCCGGCATTGTCCATAGACACCTCCAAGGTCATGTGGCTGGCATGACTGCATGGAGCGCCTTCCTGCCAAAGCGGTACCTATTAAACTACTTACATTTGCATGTTTTCAAACTGCTAGATTGTCATAAGCTGGGGCTAACAGTGGGAACTCACCCCGCTCCCAGGATTCAAACCGCTGACCTTTTGGTCAGCAAGTTTAGCAGCTCAGTGGTTTAACCCAGTGCACTACTGGCAGCTCACCTTATAATGAACTTTATTGTCAAGGATGAACTGTCCAATAGTATGCTGCTCCCCCAACCTCCAAGTATATATTTTGTTGTGTTCCTTTAAATTGTTTCTGATCCAATGTGACCCTTGATTTTCTTGGCAAGATGTATTCAGAAGAGGCTTGCTTCCTCTGAAGCTGAGAGACCGTGATTGTGCCCAAAGTCACCCAGCAGGTTTCATGGCTCAACAGGAATTTGAATCCTGGTCTCCAGAGTTAGGATCCAATGCTCAAACTGCTGCATCAAGGAGGGTCACCAGAAATACCTATCATACTCTGATCTCCCAATGTGCTAGTTTCAGGGTCATCCATGTTCAACTGTTCATTGTTCTACTCACTGTTGGTGCAGGTGACCCCTGCTGCAAAACGGCCTCCTCCTGTGGGGCAGTGCACAGGCCCATGATGTTGGCACTGCTGGATGGCATGTTCTGTGCCTTTGCAACGCGTGCCACTCAGCACCACCTCAGTAGCACCCGGGTTGCCCTGCCAGTACCATGATTCCTAAAAGAGAGCACAAAAAGAATTATGTAGCACAATGAGTTTGATAGTCCCTTTTACAGGCGGATGTGAGTTTCAGTGCTTCCTATGAACTCCAAAATACACAAAACTGGATGGGAAGTTTCCGGTCCCACCTTTTTCACTAGATAAGTAAGCCAGGCTTGCATCAAAGCAATATTAGGATCTGATTTGAGGGGAGTTGGACTCACCTGGAGAGCGTGGCTGGCAAAGCCCAAGCCCAGTTGCCGGCAAACGACCATGGCCTCCTTGAGCCCCCAGTGTTCCCCACACACAGCGCCCCAGCGTAGGGTGCCTCCCCTGGACATCAGCACTTCAACCACACCTTCCTCTGGGCTGCGTCCACCAGCAAGACGTACCTAAGTGGGGGAAATGAATGAATGACAATGGGGAGATGTGTGTCACTGGAATATCCGAGGTGGCCAATGACACTCCTCAAGATGTGCAAAAAACAGATTTCACCATGTGCAGCCAGCAGTTTGTCTTCAGTGCCTGCCAGATGCTGGTTGCAGTGAGTGTTGGATTTCATCCCTGGACTGCACAAGTCTTTTGTGTCATCAAGTTTTCAGACCTCAATGAGTAGCTCGACTAGAGACAGGACTAAGCTGAGGGATTCCTTTCCCCTCTTTACCATTCGTGTTTCCCAAAAGGGCTTTGTCTTCACTTCTCCTGCTAGCCACTTTCGTGGTCTCCACGTGGTCTCCACCATTGTCTCTTCTGCCTTTTCGTCCTTCCAATGAGGACACATTTTGCCTCTCTCTTTAGGCAAAACATAGCTGCATGGATTTTTGACATGTTACCCTTTTTACTTCTTCCGAATATGAAATTTAGGAAGCTAGTTAGCTCCAAGGCCTTTTTTAAAATTTAGAAGGTATTTCTTTTACTTCAATAAATATTTTTGAACCTAAAGTTCTGACTCTGCAATCCTGTGCCATCCTAAGAATAGAAGCTTATCCCAGTTTCACTACATGTAAGTTTCTGCTGGTTATGAAGTTTACTTCTGGTACTCTGCTATATTTATGGTGTTATCACCCCAACTGAAGGTTATTTTTGAGCCTAACAGCTGAGATTCCCCAACAGTGAACATAGTCCATAAGGGCTACAACAGATTTCCATCCAATTCTACACTTAGATGCAGTTACTGATATATTTTATCAAATTTTCTCCAGTGATAAAGAGTTCAAAAAAACACCTGTTTTTCTTCTGTCATTCATTTCACCTCTCCTTCACAGTTATAGGGTTATAATGCTCCAGGAATCAGGACTTACCTGTTTATGGACACCTGTTTGGGGCACATTGCAGCGAACAGCAGCATCAGCTTCATGTCGGCAGCCAGTCTGCCTTGCCTCTTGCGAACTGCACTCTGCCAATGAGCGCTCATAGCCCCTGCACCGCACTCTTGTCAAGTGGATAGGACCCAGGCCTGTAACAGAGAGTCAGGCTTAGTAGGGACAGATAGAGTGGTTCTTGTTCCTATTGCGACCTCGTGCCCAGTCCCTCCTGCATTCCCTGCTACTGGCCTCATTCCTTTTGCCAACCTCTTCTTCTCCCAGTTCACCTTTCCACATCTCTCTGAGGATTTCCTTCATTCTGTCTTTTCTTTTACAGAGCCATAGTTTTCACCTCAGCCTGTAAAGATTCCTCAGAGTACTTCTGGTACCTTTCTTGGACACTGCTTGGCCCTTTCAATATGATTCCCCAGAGTCCTGCTAAGTCAGGATCAACCTGCACCCTGCCCTGTCTTCCTTTCCTATTATGGCAGGGTTACTTTAATCTATATTATTCATTATTGTCAAGTTCCCTGCTCTCCTTACCTTGACCCAGCTGGGCTCCTAAAAGAGCCTCCCGGGCTGTACCATATCCCAGCTGTCGACACACCACACTGGCAGCAGGCAGGTCCCAGCCATCATCGCACACGGTACCCCACTGGCCATTCATCAGCACTTCCACACGCCCCTCTCCTACATGTGCACCTCCACGGAGACGCACCTGAGATTTCTGCAAGAATGGAGAGATTGATTAGGGGCAGGTGGAAGGGCCTGTGGATGAAATGCGTTTGGGTGACTGAGACTGGCTTTCCCTCAAAAGCAATTATGGCAGGGGAAACCAAGGGGCAATTGTCTTTTTGCTCCAAAAGTGCACTTACCAACAGATCCCAAAATTCTGTCACACAATCAGAGCTTGGAAAAGTTATTTTTTTGTACTGCAACTCTTAGAATCCCCTCTCCAGCATGAATTAAATACTTTGACCCTACTTTCTAGGAAATATAGGATCCTATCGTCACTTAATGTTTCACTCACCTCTTTGGATTTTGACTTTGCAGGCAGCTTGGCTTTGTTGGGCTGGAATTCAGGGCCAGCTATACAACTTATGAGAGCATGCATGCCACGGGGGCAGGCAGATTTATTTCGAGAGGGTGGCTGAACCTGCAACTTGCATTGTCCCAAATGGGCCTCAGTGCCTTGGCACTTGATCCGATGGATCCAGAATGTGTTGTTTGCACTCAGGCTCTTTAAACTGCAAAACCAAAGCCAGAAGTGATGGAGGTAAGTGGAGCTATTTACCATAATGTGTGACCTCAAGAATTTATTTCTAGGGCCTGGAGAATTCCCCACTGAGAAGTACTGAGACTGACCAAAGCAAGAGGGGAAACACTAGGGAATCCTTGCCATCTACTTTTAGCCTTTCCTTTTTCAAACACTTGGTCAGATTTGAGGGGAGGAGTCAGTCTGGGAGGTCTCGTCTCCCTTCTGACCTTTTAAGCCCAGCTGCTGCACTATCATCTCCTTTCCCCCTTTACTTAAGATCTGAACTGCTGAAAAACTTAAATGCAAGACGGACTCCTTACCTTGACCTTGGATCCTTCAGCTTCTGATTCCAGAGTTTCCTGAAAGATCAAATACCAGAACTTGTGGAGATTGGCATAGAAAACACTTTAAAGACATCTAAATTCACCATTGGGACACTTTTATATAGGTCCAGGTGTCCTCCCTAATGAAATATTTATTTTCTTGGTTTAAAAATAAAACAAAAGCCAAGATCAACAACCTCTGAGGATGCTTGCTACAGATGCAGGCGAAACGTTAGAAAAGAATGCTTCTAGAGTATGGCCATACAGCCCGAAAAACCTACAACAACCCTCAAACAAATTGTGGCACTGCTCAAATCCAACATTTGCTTTGGTGGGGATCCTGAACCCAGCAAATGGCACTGTTTTGGTTCTGTCCCTGAGACCCTGTTATCATTTCAGAAAAGGAGTGCCATGTAGGACTTGAACCTATGTTTTCCTTGCAAAAGGTCCATATCCCACCATTGGTTCCTCGCAATGAAGTTGGAAGTTGGGCAAAGAACCAATGCAGGTAAACAGGTTCTACTAATGTGACAATTCCAGCCATTATAGAAAAAGGTGCATGCCTTCATGCAAAGACATGGCAAACTGCTTGGCATCCTTAGATGAATCCTGGCTTCTGTGATCAAAGAAGATGGGTTCAGATCTGTCTATAGCTCCAGTTGGCCTCAGGAAATATAGGGGTCTAGGACTTTTAAGCTAGAGTGCAAGGCTTGCAGCACCGAGACACGGGCCGTAAGCCAGAAACAGCAGGTTCTGCTTCTCTTTGAAAAACTGCCTGAGCCCACAGAATCTTCCCTGTAATTACCCCACTGTGGTTTGGCTGATCCCCATGGTGAGACAGGCTTGGAACCCACACCTGCTCATTGTAGGACTGTATTTATAGAGAATGGTGGGTGGGGTGCAGAAGATGGAAAGGGGAGGAACCGAGGGACATCGGAGACTACCAGAATGTGAGTGGGAAAGAGAACCCACAAAGCCACAGGAATTGAACAGGCCTCTCATGAGAAATGGAAGGGAGCCTTGAGATGGAGCATGAGAGGCTGTTGTGCCTTCTAGTGTCTATTCATGCACACCAAGTACGAGTAAACTTGATGCAACATGCAGGAAAATCACATACTGCATAAGCAGCCAGTGCTGTCTAAATTTACATAAACCTTCCTAGTTTACATGGAAGCCTGGAAAAGTCAATTTTGGACCACAGTTGCTAAATCCAAAATGCCCAGTGATTAGGGTGGAGCTCAATGTCCATATCGGGGGAATGAGACATTCTGGGAATTCTAATTTTGATGAGCTATGATTCAAATAGTCATGTACACCATGCCAGCTTCCATGGGTATATTCATCTGATTATTGGAGGATATCACATACATGTCATTGCCCATCCACCTGTGCAACCCTCACCCTACTTTCCTCCTCTTACCTGTAGAAGCCTGTTGTCACCCGCCCTTCTCGAGGGAAGCCCAGCATCCCACAGACCACTCGGGTGTTGTTGCGAGTCCAGCCAGCATCACACACCTGGCGCCAGCGTCCTTGGAGCTTCACTTCCACAGCACCTTCTGTGATGGGGGAACTTAACTTGGCCCGGGCCAGGATTGGCTTAATCCGCACCTCTTCCACTTTGGAGCCCTGCCCAAAAGAGAGAAGGAGGGTATGTCACTATGCTCCTCCAAGCTCCAGTGTATCAAGCCGTAATGAGCTTTGTCTCATTTCAGGACTGCAGTTCTATGGTGCCTTCATTATCAAAGTCCCATTGGATTTTGTAGGACCTGTACCCAAGTATAATGCAGAGGGTGGAGCTGAAGGCTTTTGGGAAGGTGGAAGAAAGTGCAGCTTAAATGCCTCACAAACAGTTCTCACCTGGAAGTGTGAAGAAGCAGGATCAGGTCGCCTCAAGCCTGTGCATACCACACCAATGTCCTCATTATGGTTGCAGTCGCTCACACCCCAACCATTGGATTCACACTCAACCAGAGAACTTTCGGTGCCAGAGCAACGCATATTGTCCAGCCAGATGGGACCTGTCAGAAAAAGGACCTCTGGTCATTATTTTTCATGGACTGCCATTGCAGCCTACTCTACCCCAGTTAGACACCCTCTTTCTAGGAAACACATCTGTGTCATTAAGGAAAACCCAACCTTCCCCATCCTGGCACCTTCTAGCTGTGTCAGACAGAATAGTCAACTGAGATTATAGGAATTGTAGTTCAATGGAGCTGGAAGATGGCCAGGCTGAGGGAGGTCTTCACATTGCTAGTAACACTGTAAGTAAGTAAGTAAGTAAGTTGGATTACTAACATCAATGAATCAATATGCTATGTTTTTAAAACTTTCAATGATTTCAATGTATGTGTATATTGTATTTGTTTATTGTTTGTATGGCATTAAATATTGCCATTTTAGAAGCCGCTCTGAGAGAGAGAACGAGGTAAAAGTATAGTAAATTTAAAAAATAAATAAATAGTTGTTTTGAGATATTAGACCAGTATTTGACAGGAAAGATTAAAGACCTTACTTATCATATAGATTTGGGTGTGACCTATGGGTAAATCAATGGTTCTTCTATGAAGAGGGGAAAGTGCAAGCATGGTCTTAGTGTCCCAGCTGTCCCTGGCACCCTAAGAGTATATACAGTAAGTAGGAATCAGACAAGGTGATTCTGTAAGATATTTGAGCCTTCTGTAAGATATTTACAAGCCCTCTAAGAAAGATGGAGTAACACAACAGAAAACGTGTTGCTGAAGGCTTTCATGGCGGAATCACTGGGTTGCTGTGAGTTTTCCAGGCTGTTGGCCATATTCCAGAAGCATTCACTCCCAATGTTTTGCCCATGTCTATGGCAGGAATCCTCAGAGGTTGAGAGGTTTCCACAAATCTCACAACCTCTGAGGATGCCTGCCATACATGTGGGTGAAACATCAGGAGAGAATGCTTCTGGAACATGGCCATACAGCCCAGGAACGCAACAGAAAATGTACAATGGTTGAGAGATATTTCAAAAATCTATAGGCTTCTTGGCCACGTCTGGCATTTCACAGCACTTTGACCTGGACAAAAACATCAATTTAAGGAGGGTATGCCATCAACTTACACAAACTCATTTCTGTTTAGTGCCACACCAAGCTGGCAGCTTTTGGCTCTTGGCAGAGCAACTGACACTTTGGAACATTAAGCAGAACTGAAACACGCCTGACACAGGAGTCCCACCTGAAGGCTGCAGGGAACACGCTTGCCCTGTTCTTTATGGTGATGACTGTGCTGGAAGCAGCTGGTGGTAATAGAGTTGATCTTTAAAAGCCCTTTGCCTATTCATGCCACTCCAGCGGTCAGTTTATCCCAAGCAGAGATACTACAGTTCTGTACAGTGAGGAAACTACACCCCACAGTCTGAAAGTCTGGAGCATGATGTAAGTGCATGGAAAGGACTGTGATTACTGTGAACACACTCAGTACCTGGACAAAAACACTCTTCATTAAAGAGATCCAGGGCTTTGAACTGTTCAAAATCTACTGAGCTTGCTCCATCCCTGTATCCCCTCTTTGCAGCCCCTCCTTACCGTCTCCTGGGCCATATTTAGCACTGTGAGCCCAGTTTGTGGCCCCTTCGTAGCCCAGCTCCCTGCAGGCCACGCTGGCCACGTGGATGTTAAAGTCGTCATCGCACACGGTGCCCCACTGTCCGTCGTACAGCACTTCCAGCCGCCCTTCTCCCACTTGGCTCCTGGGCCCCACGAGGCGCAGCTGAATACGTGGGCGTTGTGCCCAGCTGGGTGTCCCCAGGTAAACCAGAAAGCCGAGGAGAGCAAAGTGATGTGGAGCCAGAAGGAACATTGTTGGTGGAAGAAGGCAGAGATACCTACAGACACAAGGAAGTCAATTAGAAGTAGCCTGGCTTCCTGGGAAAGGGAAAAAAGCCAGTGGAATTCCCTGCCTTGTAAGAGAGGTGAGGCAGAGACCCAGGCTGGAGAATGGAGAGAAGGGGGTCATTTAGAACAACATTTGAAGGGCAGATACTTATGAGAGTCCCCATTTCCAAAGAGAATCCAGAAATGAAAGCTGCGATGTTAGTCCATACAACAATATTCTTTCTCAATTCCTTTCCTCCAGCTTACTCGTTCGAACGTATCTCCTCCTGCGTCCCACCTCAAAACTTACAATCTTCCAGGGAGGCCCTGCTCTCGATCCCACCTTCATTGCAAATGCACTTGCTGGGGACGAGAGACAGGGCCTTCTTGGCGTGGCCCCCTATCTGTGGAACTCGCTCCTCAGCTAAATTAGGTCAACAGCTTCCCTCCTTTCCTTCAGAAAAAAGTTGAAGACGTGGCTATGGGACCAGGCATTTGGATAGCAGGCTGACAATAAAAATGACAACAATGCTATGGAAAATGGACTATGGACAGGCTTCGGATTAAGTTGTTGATCGTAGAACTCAGACTTAGACATGCCAATTAATTCAATTTGCACTATTTTAAATTGTTTTTTTTATCTAATTTTAATGTTTTACTTATTATGTAACTCTTGTTTTATCTGTTTGTATATGGGGGGCATCAAATTGTTGCGAGCTGTAAGCCGCCCTGAGTCCCCCTTTGGGGGTAGAGAAGGGCGAGGTACAAATATTTGAAATAAATAAATAATAAATAATACTCTGAAGATTGTAGCTAATCTCAGAGGGAGCAAACAGGAAGAAAAGCAGGAAAACTAAGGCTCCTTCCACACAGCTGAATTCCACATTTTCTGCTTTGAGCTGGAATATGTGGCAGTGTGGACTCAGATAACCCAGTTCAAAGTATATATTGTGGGATTTTCTGCCTTGGTATCTTGAGTTATATGGCTGTGTGGAAGAGCCCTGAGAATGGCATCCCTCCTAGCCAAGAAATCTAGTGCTTGAACTCTGCCTATGTGCTTTTCCTCTGCTCCCCCACAACATTTCTCCAAATCCCACAGCTCTTCCAGGGCAGAGGTGTGTTGTTTTAACACCCTTCTCCTCTTGCCTCACAACACCACCTGTCCTGATCTCCTAAGGTCAGGATGCCACCTTTGACAGCCATAAAGATAGGTAAACTCCATTTCTCAGATTTTTGAATCCCACTTTTCCACCACAGATTCCTCTGAGGATGCCTGCCATAGATGCAGGTAAAACATCAGGAGGGGATGCTTCTGTAACATGGCCATACAGCCCAGGAAACTCACAACAAGCCAATCCTGAAGTTATCTTGATTGCTTCATCTCGCTCCCTGAATGCTTGCTTGAAAAGCCACATTTTCAGTAGTTTCCTAAATGTCAGGAGGGAGGGGGCCGATCTGATCTTGCTGGGAAAGGAGTTTCACAACCAAGGGGCCACCACTGAGAATACCCTGTCTCTTGTTCCCACCAGTTGCGCCTGTGCAGGTGGTGAGACCGAGAGCAGGATCTCCTCAGCCAATCTAAATGCTTTACCTGGCTCATAAAGGGAAATACGTTCGGATAGATATGCTGGACCAGAAAAGAAGATGAAACCCCTCCCAGAATGAGAGGAATGGGCAACATAACATTCAGATCACTTCCCCACCTTCCACATGCCCACAGCCATGAGATGTCATCATCTGCATCCCTCTAAATCAGGCCTGGGCCAACTTGGGCACTCCAGGTGTTTTGGACTCTAACTCCCACCATTCATAATAGCTTCAGGCCGCTTCATTTCCCCCCTCAGCCACTTAAGAATGTTAGAATGGTGAGGTAGGCCAATCAGAAACCATATGTAAATGAGTAGGTGGATATAGCTCCTGCATGGGCCAACTTGAGTTCCCTCCTTCAGGTCCCTTCTTTTTCCCCTCAGCCACTTAAGGCTGTTAGGAATGGTGGGAGTTGAAGTCCAAAACACCAAGAGGGCCAAAATTTGCCCATGCCTGATCTACAATATCAAATCAATGAAGTTTGACACCACTTTTACCGTCTGGTTCAATGCTCTGGAATCCTGGGAGTTGTAGTTTTTACAAGGTCTTTAGCTTCCTCTGCCGAGGAGTGCTGATGCCTCAGCAAACTCCATATCCCAGCATTCTGAAGCACTGAGCCATGGCAGTTAACCTCATCACACTATAGAATGAATCTACTTTAAATCCGGTTTCTGCCTCCTGCAGAATTCTGGGGTTTGTAGTTTAGGGAGAGCCTTTAACAGCCTTTAACTCTGAGAGTTTAGGGAGAGCCTTTAACAGCCTTTAACTACAAACCCCAGTATTCTATAGGAGGCAGAAACCCGATTTAAAGTGGATTCATTCTATAGTGTGATGAGGTTAACTGCCATGGCTCAGTGCTTCAGAATGCTGGGATATGGAGTTTGCTGAGGCATCAGCACTCCTCGGCAGAGGAAAGTAGTGTCAAACTGCATTAATGAGGTAGAGTAGAAGAACCTGGGCTGCCACCCCAGCCTTCTAGAAGCGACGCCTCTCGGGAGGAGACAGACTGCAACTCCCATCACTCACAGCCACCCGAGGCGAGGGCTCCCTGAGTGATGATACAGAGCTTGCGGATGAGCTCCTACCCAGTCCCCACCCAGCGCCTCGGATTGGGCAAAAGGAACGACGAGCGCTTTTGCCCTTCCACGCGCGAGACTTCGGTGGACTCACCTGCAAACGCTGCGCTTGGCACCTTTCGCGGGTGGCAGGAGAGCGAAGGACACCGAGGGGAGTTTCCTTTCCAGGGGAGAAGTGGGGAGGCGGAGGCGCTGTCCACGCGAGTCTCAGAGAGCCAAAGACGAGCCGCCTCCAGTCCGCCCCGTCTGCATCCCGTGCGCCCTCCCAGCCCACTTTTATCCAGGGCGGCCCCCCCGGAGCCCGGCTCATGGACAAATCAGTGCCAAGGTGGGGTTTGGGGGCGAGGAAAGGAGGAGGAGAGGGGGGCGAGCGGGAGGGAGCCGAGGAATAGCGTGACCGCCACCACGGATTTTGCGTGTTTCCTGCATTTCTCACCCCTTCGGTCCTTCTGTGGTGGGAGAGCGAGAAATGCAGCCGCCTCCCTTTCGCCCTGGGCAAGCCCAACCTCTTCACCTGTTGGATCTCTTCCTGCCTGGGGAGCTCTCAGAGTTATTCCCCAAAGCAGGAACTTTTGCAAATGTATTTATTTATTTACAGTATTTATATTCTGCCCTTCTCACCCCACAGGGGACTCAGTGCACATATACATGGCAAACATTCAATGCCATAGACACATAACCTATATAAACAGACACACAGAGACTATTTAACATTCCAGCTTCATGAGGGTATTCTGGCCACCAGGGGAGCTGTCGCTTCACCATCCATTTGCAACACTGATGGAGTGCTTCCTCATTCTTTGCATGCTTACTGGAAATTTTATGGCATTGTAAATTAGTTAAATTAGCCTCCTCACATAAACAGTATCTAAATTTCCTATTTGACAGTTGCAACTGTCTTTTGGGCTGCAAAGGTCAACAACAAGCTACACAAATGGTTGGAAGCTCACTCCGACCTGGGCTGGCTTCGAACTCATGACCTTTGGGTCAGTAGTGATCTTAATGCAGCTGACTCCCAGCTTTGGGGGATATATTTTCCCACTTCCACATCAACCCTCTGATTCCCCTTCTACACTGCCATAGAATCCAGATTGTCAAAGCAGACAATCCACTTTATCTGCTTTGAGCTGGATTATACGAGTCTACATTGCCATATAATCCAGTTCAAAACAGATAATCTGGATTTTATATGGCAGTGTAGGAGCCTTTGAGAACAGTTCCATCTTGTCTCCTGTGTCATCAGTTGGGAGCTCCTCCTCAGCACCAACTCCTGCTCTGGGACCAGAGTGAAGAGAGGGAGCCAGGAAGACAGTTCCACCTTGTCTCCTGTGCTGTGCTAATAATAGAATATAATAGAATATATTGTATATACATATAATATTGATAATATTATAATGTAATACAATGTAATACTACTACTACAAATAATATATTATAATTATATATTTTATATTACATGTAATGTTACTAATAATATTACAGTATGATGATATAGTACAATATAGTAATATATAATACAAACATTGTGCTATGCTAATAATATAATATTGCTTGTAAGCCACTCTGAGTCCCCTTCTGGGTGAAAAGGGTGGCATATAAACGTCATAAATAAATAAACAAACAATTGTGGGAATTTATTTATTTACTAGCTAAACCCAGCCATGCTTCACTGTGTCTCAGTCTGATATGAAATGAATGAGATAGTAAATAAAAGTGTTGTTGCGAACATAGATTCACCGAGAAAACACACCATTCAATTCAATGCCCTGCCTTGTGTTGCTGTGTCTATGTAGAATGAAGGAAAGGAAAGAAAAAGAGGTTTTCAACAAAAATCATTTTTTATTGTAAAACTAGTTGATTGACTACATTTTGGTTTGTCTGGTTTCTGCATAAACATAAAGATCTGACCGTTTACCAATTCTTGAGCATGCAATGTATAAGTTCCCCTGAGAGAAGCAACTGCTTTCTAAATACAAACCACACACTTGCAAATATTACCTCTGTGCTTTATTGATAGGTTGCTATTTCTTTACTGCTGAGGTAAAAGGAAAGCTGCGTAGTGATTGGTTGCTTATGCTCAGTTTTCATTTTTTATACTGCTGTGGTAAAATGAAAACTAGGCTGTGAGTGGTTGCTTTGGGCATCACAGATTCCCGGACTACTAGTTTTCGTTTAAATACATGTGTGTATTCAAATGCAATGATATGTCCAATTTTCAGTGCTCAGTTTTCATTTCTTATACTGCTGAGGTAAAATGAAAGCAAGGCTGTGAGTGGTTGCTTTGGGCATCACAGATTCCACTTTGTCTTTTCCCGGACTACTAGTTTTACTCTAAATACTTGAATGTATTCGAATGTAATGTTGCGTCCAATTTTCAGAGCTCAGATTTCATTTCTTATACTGCTGAGGTAAAATGAAAGCAAGGGTATGAGTGGTTGATTTGGGCATCACAGATTCCATTTTGCCTATTCCTGGACTGCTAGTTTTATTCTAAATACACATGTGTATAAGAATGCGACGTTGTGTTTAAATTTCATTTCACTATAAAAACACTATTGGAATACAATATTGTGTCAAAATGTCAAGTCCATCGACTGATTACTTTTTGAGTCTAGTGATCACAAACATATGCAGGCTGAGATTTTATATATAAAGATTTACTTCATTTTTACCCTGCCACTGAGAAGGCCCTATCTCTTGTCCCCACCAATCGCTCCTGCAAAGGAAATGGGACCAAGAGCAGGGCCTCCCCAGATGATCTTAAAGTACTAGTAGGTTAATAGGAGGAAATGTGTTTGGACAAATTTTAAAGCTTTATAGGCCATGACTAGCACTTTAAATTGGGCTCGGTAGCGTATCTGCAGCCAGTGGAGCTGACTGAAAGGTCGGCGGTTTGAATCCGGGAAGCAGGGTAAGCTCCTGCTGTTAGGCCCAGCTTTTCCAACCTTAGCAGTTCGAAACAAGCAAATATAAGTAGATCAATAGGTACCACTTCAGTGCCGGCCACACAACCTTGGAGGTGTCTAACGCCAGCTCTTTGGCTTAGAAATTGAGATGAGCACCACCCCCTCAGAGTTGGACACAACTAAACTTAATATCAAGGGGAAATCTTTACCATTATTAAGATCCCTTAGCATACTGATATTCCACCCAGCAATGCTTTTGAATTCTACCCCCATAAATCTATGATTTACAGCAGTCCCATGCTGTGAATATATAAATGGGGAGGTGCAGAGCAAGCGAATCCTAACTGTTATACTAGTGTGCTTGAGAGTAAGTATTTCTTAGTATTAATCATTATAAGCTGCAAAGGGAGTCATTGTTGGCCCAAGATTGGCAGTTAAAGCTTTTCACATAAATAATAAATATAAACTCGAGATACAAGGAAGGTCTCCTACTGCACCCAAATAATAACTATAGTTTTAGTGAAGGAAAAGAGCCTTTCTTCCACTCACCACATTTCTATCTCCCCAGAAAAACTGCTTGCGTCTTGCTATGTTCACTGGCCTAAAAAGAAGCCAGCATGGTATAGTGCCTTGAGCGTTGAACTACAAATCCAAAGACTAGGGTTTTATTGCTTATTCAGTCATGGAAACCCATGTCGAGGGAGTCACACACTTTCAGCTCCATAAAATTTCATCATAGGGTCACCATAGGATCATCATAAATCAGAAATGACTTGAAGGAAAACAAGGAGGAGGAGGAAGGCTAATCTATCCAATGTTCAGAAATGACACTTGATTAAAAATGATGTCCTTCAATATCAGCAAAAGGCCTTTGCTATAAAGGCTACACAGACTTCTCCTGATCTAGCAGTGATTTATAGGTATAGGGAAACATAGCATTCATTACAGTAAAGGTGGTGGTAGGGTTGGGCATTCAGGGTAAACCTTGACCAGTTTCGTGTCCCAGCTTTTGGTGGGGACCCTTATCTGTTTTTCAGGTACCTCCCGAAATTGGGAGGACAAATCTGTTTTCACTCTGGGGTGACCAAAGAGCCATTTTCTTTAATCCTATTATTGGGGAGGGGGGGTGATCCAGGCTCCCCTTTCCATCATTTTAGGCATTTAAGCTGTTTTACTCTAGAGGAGGCTTCTTACCTGTCTCTACTCTAGAGGAGAGGTGCTCGGCTGCAGGCAGGCACTTGCTTTAAGGAGGATTCTTACCTGTTTCTGCTCTAGAGGAGAGGCACTCGGCTGCAGGCAGGTGTGTGCTTTAAGGAGGCTTCTTACCTGTCTTTACTCTAGAAGAGAGGCACTTGGTTACAGGCAGGTGCATGCTTCAAGGAGGCTTCTTATCTGTTTCTAGTCTAGAGGAGAGGTGCTCGGCTGTAGGCAGGAGCTTGCTTTAAGGAGGCTTCTTACCTGTTTTTACTCTAGAAGAGAGGTGCTCAGCTGCAGGCAGGCACATGCTTTAAGGAGGCTTCTTACCTGTTTCTTCTCCAGAGGAGAGGCGCTCAGCTGCAGGCAGGTATGTGCTTTAAGGAGGCTTCTTACCTGTCTTTACTCTAGAAGAGAGGTGTTGGCTACAGGCAGGCACATGCTTTAAGAAGGCTTCTTACCTGTTTCTACTCTAGAAGAGAGGTGCTCAGCAGCAGGCAGGCACTTGGTTTAAGGAGGCTTCTTACCTGTCTTTACTCTAGAAGAGAGGTGCTTGGCTGCAGGCAGGCAGGCAGATGCTTAAAGGAGGCTTCTTATTTGTTTTTACTCAAGAGGAGAGGTGCTCGGCTGCAGGCAGGCACGCGCAATTTCTGGGCCTGCACACCCACCACACACGGACTTTCTTTCCAAGACAAGGAGGCATGGAGCACCACGTGCTCACGAAAAGCAGGCGAGGAGCCAAGATTTTGCTTTCTGTTGAGCTGATTTTTGTTCAGGGAGGGGCCTTCCCGATAAGTGTTCCTGAAGGTAACGAAAGTAACAAAAGAATGGATGAAACAAAGAAAAACGGTTCCACGCACAACCCTAGGAGCTGGCTCTGTACATGAAATTTACTATTCAGTTGGGGGACTCTAGTTGCAAAAAATGATGATAATGATGATGTTTTCATTTATATCATGTCATTGTCCCAACAATGGGACGCAACGATGGCTAATAACATTTTTTAAATCAATGCACATTGTAAAACTATAAAAGTGTTGATGAAAGTATAAATATAAAAGTGAATTAAAGCCAATTAAATATTTTATGAAGTTAAAACGTTAAACATTAAAAGCATTAAAATGCATTAAAACATT